CTCCCTGCAGAGAACAAGGACTCATCCTGCCTGGAATCATCTCCCGCAGCCGGGACATCCCCAGGGGGCTCATCTTCCTCCTCGGACAGCAGGGGCTCCACCATGCTCTCCCAAAACCTGGCAGCAAAGTCCTCTGTGCAGATAGAGCTGGAGCTGCTCCGGTCGCCCGGGCTGGACCGGGAGCCGAGGAGCTGAGCCAGCCCCCAGCAGCGCTTCTCTGGTGGGACAGGGCTGGCGTCACCCCGGGGACACCCGGCACGGCGTCCTTCCAGCTCTGCGTGGGAGAGCAGAGCCATGAGCCTCCCCTACACCCGGGCAGGGATGGGAAGAAACCACCTGGATCTGAACCGGCTTGGAGATGCCGGCAATGCCTGTTCTCACCAGGGAGCATTCACTGTGCACCTAAGCTCAAATGCTGAAGGCATCCCACCCTCTCCAGCAAGCTCCTCATCCTCAATTACTTCCAAAAGAAAAAGCCACGATGCAATCCTTTTTTTTTTAAACCAGGGTGATTTTTCACCCCGACGGATGCTCCCAGGCATTGCCGCACCAGCACAGCTCAGCGGTGGGCGCAGTGCAAAGGCTTGCCAGGGCAGCAGGGCACAGGGGTGGGATGCTGCTGTTAGCTCTTCTATCGCGATAAATGGGAAGCCGCTGCCTGACGGGAGAGTCCCGGTCCCAAACCACCCTTTGCATCTTCACAAAAGCCCCTCCGACAACGTTTCCCAATTTTGCTCTCCTAGCATTTGCTATTTCGGTCTCTGTGGTGCGCTGTTGTTTTATTTAAATAGCGCTAGCTGCAAAATCCTCTGCCTGAGCATCAGCCCATCTGCTGGTCCTCCACCAAGCATCCCTTTGCAGGAAGGTTTGGGCCTGGCAGGGTGGCGGGGCGAAGCAGAGCTGAGAAAGCACCGAAGATGCCCTGTCCCTACTCACCAACCATCCAGGAGCCAGTGAAGAAGATGTCGGGAGAGATGTCACTGTCTCCGCTGCTGCCGGTGCCCTGCGCGCCCGTGCCATGCTGCTGCGGAGGGGACAGGCAGGGGGGGCACTCCTGTGGGGACAGGCAGGGAGGGCAGCGGGCAGCAGCCCCGGCTTCTTGCACCCTGCTCTTGCAAACTGCTCCACTATGGAGTGGCTGGGACAAGCCCATCCCCGGCAGCACAGGAGCAATGGTCTGTCGGTCCAGGACTCGGGGAGAACCAGGGACCCCCTGCCCTGGGTGCAGCACCAGGCACCAGCATGAGCCTTACTGCGTTTCTGGCCTTTGAAGACAGCCTCCTTCAGCTCCATGCCCGCTGTGCCACCTGGGCCTGCAACACAAGGCAAGGTGAGGACGGCACACTCTAGAAGCCCCCCCGTGAACTCATTAGGCTTCAGAGTGAACGCACAGAGAACAACACAGCTCAAGCTCACCCACCTCCCAGAGCTGCAGTGCTGGGCTGAGGCCACACCGCAGGGCTGACAGGAGGATTTGCAGGCACTGCAGGGCACAGAGGTTTGCCTTTCATTAAAGTCGCGATGCCGGCACGCTTGCTGCACCCGGGAGCTGCCAGCCCCTCGGACCCGGTGCCGTGTGCCCGGCGCCCCGTTGCCTGCACCCAGAGCAGGCAGGGAAACTCCTCCCAACCACCAGCACCGGCCGAGCAGGTCCCAGTACTGGGGTCTCCCACCCCAGCCCGGACCCGTGTGCCCACCTGGTCGAGCTAGGCTGGTGCAGGCAGGGGAGCAGGCAGGGGAGCAGGCAGGGGAGCAGGCAGGGGAGCAGGCAGGGCCTGCAGTGCTGTGTGCGCCCGTCGCCCAGCAACGCCGCAGCAGCCGGCCAGTCTCAGCCTGCCCTAGGCTTCCCCTACCCAGCCAGGAGCCTCCTCCACCGGGCCACCTACTCTTGGCTACCTCCTGCCCCGGACAATGTCCCCTGGGCAATCTCCTTCCCTGGGTCACCATCCCCAGAGACCCTTCTTCCCTGGGCACCTTTCCCTGGGCCACCTCTCCTGTTCCTCCTTCCCCAGACCTCCTCCCCTGGGTAACCATCTTCTCCCTTGGCCAAACTCCACCAGGACATCTCCTGCCTGGATGATCTCCTCCCCTGGCCCTCCTCCCTCCCCAGGAAACCCCTTCACTGATCCTCCTTCTCCTCTAAGCTATCTCTCCTGGAGAACCTCCTTCCATGGGGACCTACCCCTGGCCCTCCTCCCCAGGGCAACCTGTCCTCAGACATCTCCTGCCTTGGACAATGTCTGCTGGGCCATCAACTCTCCTGGCCCTCCTCCCCCCCGAGCCACCTTCCCTGGACCATCTCCCCTTCCTTCAACAACCCCTTTCCTCAACCTCCTTGTCCTCCGAGCCACCTCCCACAGTCCTCCTCCCCTAGGCGACCTCCTCCTTTGGACAACCTTCCCTAGGCCATCTCCCCCGTAGGTCTCCTCTTCCTCTGGGCCACCTCCCGTTGTCCCTTCCCTGGCCACCTCACCAGCCATCCACCCCGTGCCCAGGTCCCCCGTCCATGCCCAGAGCTCACCCAACCTCGGGGTTCCTCCAGGACCCCCACCTCCAGCCTTCAGGAGCGAGTGACAACCTCAGCACTGTGGCTTTTAAAACTCCCGAATCCAAGTTTTATTACCGTGTAGGAGAAGAGGGATCACTCACAATATATTGTTCAAAAAGAAATACATTCAACGGCATTTACAGTGGAATGACATTAAAACCCTCTGTGGGGGGTGAATAGAAAGACCAGGAGATGGTGCTCTGATTAAGCGTTGCCACTAGATGATCTCCGGAAGGTAGAGCAATTTTTAAAATTAGCCTAAAAAACGGGGAATTTCTGTTTTGGGGGTGCTCCTCACACCCCCCCGAGCTCCGCTGAGCTGTGCAGGGTCTGTGATGGTGATTTCTAGACAGACGCAGCGATGGGGGGTACATCAGAGAGGACCTCTCGGGGTGACAGAGCCCAGCAGGACCGATGGTGCCAGCACTTAGCGAGCAACATCTCACTCCCTGCTCTCCTCCGCCGCGGCAACACTCAGATCCTGGTTTGGGGACAGCCTGCGCAGGAGTTTCTCACACTCTCCAAGTTCGCAGGTAACACTTGCATTGACAAAGTGAACAAGGAAAATAAGGCATTTTGAAGAGCTCAATTTCTAGCCCATTTTACAAAACCGATTCAGGCCTCGGAGTGGAATAAAACCCCCCGGGCAACTTCGGTTGCCACCACAAACCAAGCCAGAGGCATCAAGGTTTATTGCAGAGCATCCTCCACTCTCCCGGGTAGGTGAAAGCCCATCTCCAAAGGAGATCTGCACACCCTGGGGCCGGGACACCCAGCAGCTCTCCGCAAGCTGCATCCAACAGCTAATGCAGAAGTTTGGCTCATTTAAGAGCTGCACCGGCCTTACCGAGCCACGGGCAAACCTCCGGGAAGGGTCTGGAAAGAGTGAACACGCCAGACCAGCTGCTCTACCACCCGGGTTTGGAGCATCGCACTCCCAAATGCGGGGGATACCGAGCTCTGGCCTTCAAACCCCAAATGCATTGTTTCTAGAAGGGAATGTCTTCGTAACACCTTTTGAATGCTATCACATCCAGCTTTGGAGCAAAATGTTGCTTCACTACTTTGGGAATTACTCTGTCACCATCACCCCTACACCCTACCTCCGGGACGAGCCTAGGGAAATCGTACTCGTGCTACAAAAACTCAGACAGACACTTCTGTCTTCATTATTTTTCATCTATTGTGTACCATAGAAATTTAAGCAAAATAATTTTATATATATTTTTATATATATATATAAATTAGAAGCAAATAAATAAGATTAAAGGGTACATTGAAATCAGTGGGTGTTGCCACTCCGATAGCCACTCACTACTGTTACGCCGTACAAGGTCTATATATACTGTACACATAGGTTTGCTGTAAATAACTGGTATGGAGGTGCTGGAAGAGAAGCTGACCAAGGAGGAGACTGATGGTTGAGGAACCTGATTGCATAAGTGTCCCATGTGTAGCCTGGGTATTCCAGTTACCATTGCCTCAAAGTTCATTATTGCTAATTATCTTCCAATGTGGATGTGACAGCCCAGCTAGGGGTGGCCTCTGACCCCCATGAGGCAGCAGTCAGTGTGATATGATGAAGACCCGGAGAAGAAGACATCGAAAATGAGATCCGACAGGGCAAACGCAGGTGTCCAGGTCTCCCCAATACTCTCTGGCCCAGCAGATCCCATCTTTGGGGTCCTGCTACCCCCATCCTCCCCTTCGGCGCTGGGGACTGGCGGTACCTGCCTGCGTGGCCGGTGGCTGAGCACCGCTCGCTCCTGGTCCTCACCGATCATCGGCAGGGCTTGCTCCGCTTCTCCTGGCGGGTCCAGGGCCACAGCAACACGACGGCATGCAGGAGGGGTGAGCGGGGGACGTGGGGTTCCCCCAGACCTGTGCTCAGGCTGCTTTAGTGATGACCTGAAACTGCTCCTGGGAGAGACCAGCCACAAGGGAGGAGAAGGAATGGAGCCAGGCACCGGGCTGCGGGTGCCCTCGAGTGCCAGTGTCTGGCTTAATGGGGAAGACACAGGGATGGGAGACTCAGAACCAAGGCTGCATCCCAGGGAGGCTCCATCCCAGCAGCACCACAGCATCTCTTCCCTCCCCTCCTGCCCGGCCTCAGGCAGAGCTCAGCAGGGAGATGCTGTCTGAAAACCTGGCACCGGGGTCCAGGCTCCTGCCGGCCCCTGGGCTGCAGCCATACGGAGCGGGAGAGAGCTGGTACGCGGACCCCGGAGCATTGCTGGTCTACAAACCTCTTTGCCCTGTGTCTGCCAGGCGTTCCTGACCTTGGCGAAGCCATTTCCCCCTTTGGATGTGGTTGCAGGAAAACCAAACCAAACCAAAACTCACTCAAACCACTCTCACAAAGCATCATGTTAAAGACAGTCCTAAATCTTGACTAAACACGGCAAGACTGTAGGGAATCTGCTCATACACTTCTCTGAAAAAAAAAAAAAGTCACCAGCTAAATATCCTAAGTGGTATTACTGGGATGACTGGGCACTGCAGGAACCACCAAGAGCCTCCAGGATCACACGCCACAGCCCCTGGAGATAGTTTTCAGAGCAGGATACACGGTTGTTTGTGTCCATCTTTGAAGGAACCTGAACCAGGAGCAGATATTTTTTTAAAAAAATAATTCCATAAAGTCCACACACAAATGGGGGGCGGGGGGGGGAAATAACGTCAAAGAAAAGAGCTCACACAAATGCACAGCATCCCCACAATGCGAGCATCTTTGGAAGTCGACGTCTCAGCCAATAAAGCCGAGGCGCTGAAAGATATAGGCAGCAACTCCTGATAGCAATAAATATGCTAGGCTAAAAACGAACCAGATTCACGTGTCCTCATTCCTAATTAGTCGCTGAAAAAGCCATCATTAAAAAAAAAGGATGCTATTTATTAGTGCGTAAAAAAATAGGTTTGGAATCCCTGTTTAGATTTGCTTTTCAAATTTCTGCATGTATTGATTCTGTGTATGTATTTGCACTGTTAACTGCCGGCGGGACGCTGCCGGCGTGTCCTCACTGTCCCTCTGTCTGTCCCGGTGAATTGAGGCGCGGGGCCGGCCACCCCGGCGTGGCTCAGAAGATATCGGGGCACGTACTCCAGTCCTGCTTGTCCTTGGCCTCCCAGTAGCCACCCTTATAGACGCAGATCAGCTCCCCCGTCACAGCATCCACCTTGCGCTCAAACCACAGCGGGATGTAGCCTTCGTAGTCCTTGCCTGTCCGGGAAGAAACACGGGATAAGGGCTGCTTTTCCCATCCGAAAGCCAGCGAGTCCCACGCTTCCCCCAGCCACCCAAATAGCTTCAGGGTCCCCTCCTTCATCCCCCAAACCCAGCGGGGTTTCTTCGCCACATCCCCCCTCCCGCAGCGAGGTGGGGGCGGTCCCTGCCCGTCAGCATCCCAAAGCATCTCACCTTCCTCCAGGGCTTCCACGGCCTCGGCCTCTCGCCGCCGGCGCACGGCTCGCTGCTTCTCCTCCAGCCGCTGCTTCTCCACGTTGGCCTCGTCCCAGCGGCCGCTCTCCATCAGCCGCTGGTCGGGTCTCAGCCGGCTGTCTGTGGGGGCCACTCGTTCCTCGGGCTCGTTCAGGGTGAGGGCCAGGTCAGAGAAGAAATACATGTTCTCAGCGTTCTCCCTGCGGCCGAAGAACCCTGATCAGGATGGTGGAGGTGGTGCCTACCTCGAGCAGAGCTCCCCAGCCCTTCACATCCCTGCATCTCACCCCAGCCCTGCTGATGGTGCTCCTGCTACCCCAAACCGGTCATGTAGATGCTACTTGGGGAGCCTGCCTCCACCCTCTAAGTGGAGATGCCAACGACACCTCAATGAGCGTCTTGGAGGGGAGCAGACCCCTCCTCTGTTTGCTCCACACAGGGAAGCTAAAAGCCAAGCCTACGAACTCCCAAGTGCTGTACTGCTCAGCCAAGACACGACACAGCTTCACCCAAGAGCTGCTGGATCCCCAACTGCAGAACTGGTGGCACCAAACAGAGGACGCTTTCTGCAGGGGACCATTCCAACAGAGCATCTCCAGAGCAGGGACCGGCTGTTGGTGCTACCAAAGGCTGGAGACTGGTTTGAGAGCAGCCCTGCTGTGGGTAAGAGTGTCGAGAGAGGACTGCTCTCCAGAGGGCTAAAGTGACCGGTGGGACAGGATGGCCAGGGACCCACCAGCAAGGCAAAGCAGCCAACACATCTCCAGGCCGTAGCCAGCAGCCCAAAAAACCTAACCAGTAACGCTGATCACCCAAAACCTACCTGCAAGTGTCCCCCAGAGCCACCCCCTCCCCTTGCAGGGACCTGCTCTCCCCTCCTGCTGTGTGCTCACGCCCTGGAAAAAGCCACACAGCCACCCAAAAGTCCTGGTCCCCTTCCCACGTCCTCAGGGCTGGGCACACAAGCCCCCCTCCATCCCACGGGGCTCAGGGCAGCACCGTTAATCCCCGTCCGGCCGTTGCACCCCTGAGCTCAGCACCCCACGCCAAGGAGGGAACTCACGGGAGGGGGTACTTCTTCCACAGGACCTTTGGAGACAACGTCTGGTAGACGGTTTTCTGCTTGCCCTCTGTGCTGGTGCTGCCGTGGCTGCTCTGCACTATCTTGGAGCACTCCATCTTCTCATCCCACGTGCCAGACATGACATAGTGGGCTTTACCATCGGCGTCACTGACCACCCCTGTCACCTGGCAGAAGGAGATAAGCCCTGGAGATGTTTGGAAATGCCCAGAGGACAGGGAGAGGCGCAGGGGGACAGAACACCCTCCAGGTGCCCCAACCAGACCTGGCGCTGCGTGTCCTTGGACATCGGCTGCGCCCAGCACAGGGGGAGCGTGGGCCCATCCTGACCACGCAGGTGGGTCTCCAGCCCATCAAACCCTTCCCAGGTCTCAGTGCCGCAGATCCAGCACACAGAGAGCCGAAACACGGGCTATGCTTGGAGGTCCCCCCCCAGCCCTCCCTGGTGACCCATGTCAGAGGCGCCAGCGCAGCTCCTTGGCCCCGTGCTGGGGCTCATCCCAGCTGCGGTACTGGGACCCAGTGAGCCCAGCTTAGAGGGAAGAGCCAGGTCTCACCCCGCGCAAAGCTGCCAGAAGGAGCAGGGAGATTGCCAGATACGTACCTTTCGGGGGACATCTCTGGAGAAGTAGCTGTAGGGGGTAAATTTCAGCTGGCATTTATCTTTTGACTTATGGTTAACAATCTCTATTTCACCAGACTAGATAAAAGACACAGAACCACAGCGAGTGAGAGACTTTGCAAGGAGACAAATCAGGCGTTAGTTGTAGTGCAGGTACAAATCAACACCAGCTGCAGCACCGCTTCTGGCTGTAGCCACCACACTGGCCGCCCCCACCGGCTCGCCAGCAGCAGGGTAAAAATCCATCACACGCGTAACCACCCTACCCCACAGAGCTGCTGGCCTGGGGAAGAGCCATTAGGAGCTCCGAGAAGCCTCCCCCCCGGCCCTGCCAGGGAAGCACACCTTCCTGTTGCGGTAGGAGTACGATGGGGACACCAGGACGTGCTGGCATACACCCCAGGAGGGCAATGCCCTTCCAGCCCCTCTGCCCTTCCCCGGAGCCAGGTGAGGCCAGGCAGGACCCATCACCTCGGACCCACAGCCACCGACCTGGTCAATCCAGAGCTTGCCCACGATGATGTTGTGAACGGTGGAGGTGACTTTCCTCCAGACGTAGTGATTCCCGCTGGAGTGAAACTCTAGGTGGATTGCACCTGCGGAGAGAGGGGTGCCCTGAGCTCAGCGAGGGCGGACGGCCAGGCAGGGCTGCAGGCACGCACCCCTGGAGCACAGGGACACCCCGGCACCGTGCTCTTCCTCGGAGCCAACCGGGCCCCTCCACCTGCATCTCCCGTCATCAGTCCCCAACCAGGGCTGGGTCTGGATTCATCCCTCCCCTTGCTGCACACTCCGTGGTCTGCTGCAGTAAGGGAGCTGCAACAGCCGCAAGGCCCTCTGCCTTCTTCCCACCCCCTAAAAAGCACTAATTTTAAAAGCTGGTCAGAAACATGCCGCCTGGGTGACTCTCAGTGCCACAAAACCAGCCAGGCACCAGCACAGCTCTGGGACCAGCCCCAGGCATGCTGTCCAGCCCTGGGACAGGCAGAAGACAAATAAAACATTGGAAGGAGGCAGCTTATTGCATCTGGCTGCCAGGGCGAGGGTTAAAACAGGCAGCAAGCTAACCCTTAAATATCATTTAAGGAAAAACCAACTAATGGGCAAGCAGGATACTTCCAAAGCATATCTGCTATGGTGCTAGCAGCAAGCAAAGCAGTCTCCCCTTACAGTGGGCATAATTTCCATTTCCAGGGCAGACGAGTTATCATCAGATTGTCTGTGATTGGGAGCACAAATATGTGCTCCCTATGGTGCTTGGGGTGGAATTCACTGAGCCTTATGTGAGCCCAAGGGACTGGCACGTTGCTTAAACTCTTGGGTACTGCATGAGCAGCGCAGAAAAAAAAACAAGCCCTGATCCTCCCGGTACAAGTCACCTACCCAGTGGCATGATGGAGAGGTATTTGCCCCTGAACTTGCTGGCGATCGTGATTTCCTGCCACAACGTCCACCCTCGCTTAGAGTAGACGTGATGGGCAGCTGCCGGGGGGTGGTGGCTCACCTGGGGGAGAGGAAAAACAGCCTGTAAGGTCACAGCCACCAGCACTGGAGAGCCCTGGCAAGCACTTGCTGCATGACTCCTAGAAGAGGCAATAGCTCCACGTCAGCTTTGGCCCTAAGGATGCTCCGCTGCGCTGACCTGAACACCCCAGTCTTCTGCTGGGCATTGGAGTGACCTCCCACGAGGTACCCCAGCAGCAAATGGAAGAGCACCGAGCTCCTGCCAGGATTTTCTAAGGCTCATAAGCAAAGCATAAAATCTTAACTTGAGCAACCGTCGCTGTGAGATGATGCTGTACTGTGACACCCTGTTCTCCAGGGATCCGGGGTGACAAACAGGGATTTGCCAACACCCAGCCTAGATCCCCAGTAATCCCAGCGTAAAAGCACCTCTCCTGCCAGCAGCAGCTACCACTTCTCTGCCCAGGAACTTACGGGGGACACAGGTCCCCAAGCCATCCGAGACACACAGACCTGCCCAGCAAAGACTTTGACTTTGCCCCTACAGACACACTGGGCTGCAAAAGCAGACAGGACATCCTCCGTCCCGGGGATGACTTGTAACAGGACGGTGCTCACATTCCCCTGCGCTGGAAAAGCTGCCCAAACCCAAGACGGGAGCAGGATATCCCAGCCAGAGGTCTCTGCGCTCACGTGGGCTCTCACCCAGCTGACCCACAGCACTCTGGCACGGCGCACGCCACCCTGCACCGGGAATCCGCTAACCACTGGGTCCCAATGGCCATGTCAACGAGTTCAGAGATTATTTGCACGGATGTAATTACAGGCTGAGCACCCCAAGCTACTGGCTTACAAATGTGAGCAGAGCAAAAACCTCTCCATTAAATCCCACTATCACCGACAGGAGAAAATCCTATTTGGGTAACTGGATTTCAGGCACAAGATTATCAACGCTTTGCTCGGCACGTCAGCAGGCTGAGCAGCACACGCAGTATCCAAGGAAAGTTCAGAGCAGTGGGAAAGGCGTCCGTCCATCCATCCCACACTGACTGTGCTGACAGCAGCACCAGGGCAAGATGCACTGGCAACACTACACCAGTGCAAAGCTGCACTCTTGCTGAATTTGCCTTTTGAGATGGCTCCAAGAGAGAGATTTAGAGGCTTCGCTCATGGACCAAAGGCTCCAGAGTGCTGCAAGGGAGCAGGTTTGCTCCAAGTTACGACAAACCTAATTTCGGATGAAGCTCATGTGCCGTGCCAGCAAGGGAGGGGGACTCACAGACCAGGCAGGAGAGCTGCACCCAGGGGTTCAGTCCAGCCTCTGGCTCAGCTAATGTGGAGGTGTCAGAAATACCAAATTTGGGTACAGATGTAGCAAAATCCGGACCAACCAGAAAAAGTAATTCAGGGCACGTTATTACTTGGGAAGGGACAAGGATGGAGGAAGGAGGGTGGTAAAAAGGAGGTTGAAGGAATAACAAAAAGGAATGGGAAGGTATGGGAGTGATGTGGTCGGGGATGTATGTGACAGGCAGCGCTGGGCTTCATCACCGCAGCCCTAATGAGGGTAAGAAAGCCACCCTGTTGTTCTGACTGTACCCCAGGAGGATGAGGGGTGTTGCTGGCTAAGGGACAGATTGAGCATCCTGGTAAGGAATCATCCACTAGCTCTAACAGCAGGCTGAGCAGGCTGACAGCCCAGGGAGATGGAGCACCAGGGAGGTGTTGGAGAACAGAGACCCCTAATTTCAATCTGCTGTGCATAAAGTCAGCTGGAGAATTTGGCTGTGTGGCAGGACAGGGTAATAGCTGCCAGGTCAGGGGAGGTGAAGGCATGATGCTGCTGAGGTGGATGAACCTGAGCTCTGCAACATTCACAGCAAAGAGCCAGGAAATGCCTGGAGCAATGCTGCCACCTCTGATCTGCCTCCCGGGAGCAGGCAAGGTGCCAGGCAGAGCAGGACAAGGAGGTACGTTCGCAGCTGTAGCTTATTACACTCTGGTCAGCAGTGTCCTGGCTCACTGCAGCCAAGGGCATGAGCTCCCAAGGCTGGGACAGACCATATGGGCATCACTGGGGACAATCAGAGCTGGCTGACATCAGGCATGCAGCTTTGGATGGTGTGAAGGGACAGCAGAAAGAGGAATCTTGGAGATATCTACTGAAGCACCTTTCCTTTTGTCATGAGCAAAGGGTCCCATTTCCAGGAGACCCCACACAGCCTGTTCACCGTCACTGCCTGGAGCAGCGCAGCCAGCAGAGATGGGATGTGACAGGAGGTGCCGTCCTGCCTCACGCCAGAGCTTTGCAAGAGTCTGACGAGCTTGGGCACACATTACCATGGAGAGGTTTTGTCCACACCTACATGTCCTGCGAGGAGCTGATGGCAGAGCATGGCACCTGCTACAGCGACCACTCCAAACCTGGGTACGAAGGGCCACGACTTGGAGAAGATGATGATGAGGGACAAACTAAACCACGTCAGGGGGACACGTGGATGCTGGTGCAACCCTGACCCTCCTCACTGCGTATCCTCAGCATGCCCCATCCACATGTCTGATACATGCTGTGAGCATCACATAGCACAGCATGGCATGTCCAGATTAGCAGCAAGACCCTTTTCCCATGTGATGCTCCTCCAAAAAACCCACAGGTCTCAGGGCACGGTCTGTGGAACAGCTCTGCAGATCTTGGACCTGCATCAGCCTCTACAGAGTGACAGAGGTTTGTGGTTTTGTTTGATGTTTCTGAACACTGAAAGATGCAACAGTTACTCTGTCTCTGAGATGGCACAGCCACCCCCTGGAGAACAGAAAGCCCCCATCAAAGTGATGTCCTCCCTGAAAGGGGTGATAAATGGCCCCATCCCTCCCCAGGAATGCAGGATGGACCAGCCAAGTGTGCTAAATATTAAACAGTCGATTTTCTTCACAGGTCACAACTCATTAAGCACTCCAGGTTTTTAATTAAGACCTGCTGTTCGATGCATGCCAGATGCACTCTGTGATTAGAACATGGGACTGTCAAGAGTTTCTCAGGTTGCCCCCAGGCTCCGAAACTAAAAATTTTCAGTCCAACAATAAAGAAATGAGACCCTGAGACACCCTCTGGGCCAAAGATAGCCTGAAACAGTTTGGGGGCATCACTGCATAGCTACAAAGGAGCTCGGGTGAGGAGAACTTCTCCCTTTCTGCTCAAGTGTTGAGATGTAAAAGTAACCCCAGCTCCAGGCAGGCTACCAGGAGACCTGGCAGGGTGAGGGACACTTTTCTCCTCCCCTTCTTTGCCACCTCCTGCTCTGCAACACCAGGATGGGCACACTCTGCTTCTGAAAAATGGCTTAGGCTGTGCCTGCTGCTGCTTCTGCCAATGCCAGCAGCAACCCGCTGGCTGTCTCAGCCAGGAGGAAGGCTCAGTGCGAGGAGATGCTGGGTCTCCTTCAGAGAAGGGCTGCTTTGGCTGGACATGAGCAGCGGGGCAGATACACAGACCCTTCCGCAGACCCTGGCTCACCTGCTCGCACAGGGAACGGAAACCAAACTCCTCCAGCCGGTCGAGCTCATAGGTTTCCCCCAGCAGTGGGTTGAATGGCTTTGCAGTGCGGTGGACAGTTGTCGAGTAGGAAGACACCGAAAACGCAGCGACGAAGCACATCTGCTCCGTGGAGCTCTCGCACTTGACCGCTTTGTCCAGCAGCTCGTGGTACTCGAGGTCCTCTGTCAGCCTCTGCAGCATGGAGAGCGGCTCATTGAAGTTTACCTGGAGGGGAACAAGTAAATGTTAGCAAAGCAGGAGAGATGCCAAGCAGGGCACTTCACCCTTTGCCTTTTTCCCCCAGCACTGTAGCCTGCTAAGCACTGGCATCCCACACGTTCGGCTCTCTGAGCATGGTGCAATGCGCTCCAAGAGTCAGGGATTCAAGGTGAATGGAAACCGCTGAACCGAAGCAGCAGCCCCGCAGCGCAGCTCATGGCGCGGGGCTGGATGTGACAAGGCATGCTGCACACGTGCTGCCCCTGCAGCATCACTCAAATGTTAACCAGAGGCAAGAAAGATGTGCTCTGCTCTGCTCCTTGAACCGTACCACAAGAGTGCGAAGGCTTTGAAGTTCCCAGCTGAGAAGAGGTGTGCCAGGGAGCCAACAGCCCTGCAAGCTAACCAGGTATTTCCTTGCTCCAGTGATAGAGCACCACTGACTCCCAAAATCAGCCTCAGCAGTGAGACCAGCTCCCTCCTGCCTCCCAGCCAGCATCCCACCAGCTATGAGCAAGTGGCGACGCGGGGCAGAGACGTACTGCTCCCCGGGCTGCCCTCCATCGCCTCCTGGCAAAGCCATCCCTATGCTGGGCTGCAGCCCAGTTGCTCAGAAAACCTTGAAAAGCCACATTCCAGGGTCTCCCTGCTCCTGGGACTGCCCCCCCACAAGAGCACCCGAACCGCACGTGTGAGCTAGAGGCAGCAGCGGCAGCAATGCCCCACGGGGCAGAGAGCAGAGGGGAAGCTCTGTCCCTGGTGAGCCCGAATGAGTTGTATTTCCACTCCCAAGTCATGACTTTGTCAATTAGAAACCTTTGCCATACATTGCCAGGTTGGACAGGCTGCAAACATCTCTGGAAAAAAAAACCTGGTTGATTTTAGCAATATTTTTTGATCTGAAAAGAATTAAAATAAAAAAAATAATTGAAGGGAAGATGGAGATACTTTGTCTCAAAAGGTCTTCTGCCTTGAAACCACGTGAAATTCACTTTTTACCTTCAGTTCAGAACAAAGAAATATATTTTAGAAGGAGCAGATGGTTGAAGGATGGGAGAACCACTTCTATAAGCCAAGTTACACATTTCATACTAAAGAAAACAAACTCCAGATTGTTCCACTCGGGGATTTGGCCTGTAAGCAGCAGGGATCTTACAGCATCTGAGAAAGAAAGAGCTGTGTAGCGAGGGCAGCATCACATCCACACAAAAAAGCAAATCACTGCCAGCTTGAGATAACTCTCAGGAGAGATGCAGGTGGCATGAGAACAAAGCCAGCAGCTGCATCCTCTCCACCAGCACCACTCGGGCAATGGCAAAGCAAAACCTGTCCATGGAGGAAGGAAGATGAACCCACCCAAAATGCAAAATCCCTAAAGCTGTTTTCTTCCTTTACAATGCTGCAGATTTGTTCATTCAGAGGAAAAATTAAGGAGTGCGCTGTTTGCACGGAGAGGTTTTTCAGTCCATCACATCCCCTGGGAAGGGGACAGGGTCTCAGAAATGCTCTTAATTTGCCAAGAATCAGGTGAAGCACATAGAAGGAGAAACTCCCATCACTCAGGGCACACAACAGGCTCACTGACAGTCTGTACTATAATTAACCACGTTTCCAAACAGCCCTGAGCCGGCCGCTCTGCTTCCTTCTCCTCCTTTGCTCCATTTACCACAATGTCAGCTTGAAAGCCCTCGCTCCGCAGCTCCGTCTCAATTCACTGAGCTGCCGGCTTCTCCTGCACTCCAGGCACACGTACTACAGAGAGAGAATTTAAATGGCTATTGCACAGAGATTAAATTGCTCCCTGTTGCCTTACCACGGGCTGCTTGCTCTTAGGGTGAATCTCCCAAAGAAATGCCACGTGCAGCTGAGTTTGTGGGGTGCAAAGCATCTCCCTGCCTCTGTATCTGTACAGATACCCAGAGAGAGGAGGTAACAGCGAGTGGTTGATGCCAGGCTGAGCCCCTTCTTTACAGCCTATAGCTCTGTTGAACAGTTTACAGAGACAGCCAGATCCACTTGCCCCAGGAGGGATGGAGTAATTACATCCCCTGAGCCGGCATCAGGGGGTGCTGTGCGAGCAGAACATAACGCTCTCAGGTTTGGACTTGGCTTTAGCAGCTCCCGCAATGATTTGATTGATAGGGAAGGTATAAATTTCCTCTCTCCAGGCACCAGCAGCTGCTGGTATTTCACGTCCTGAGCTTATTTCTGTACCCATCAAGCCTTTATCTGATATTGATGCTGCTGCAGAAATGCTAACAGACGGCACTGGGCTGTATATCTTGGCTGGAAATAGCACAAAGAAGAGACAAACTCATCTCTCTTACTTGAAGAGTGTCAGGCACTGCTTTAAAAAGAGACGAAATACAATCAGTTCAGCATCCAAGCCCCTGTAACACACTCTATCCCCTTTACCCAGCAGAGGAAGAACCCCAAATATGGCTCCAGGGCTATGGTTCATGCTTTCCTGAGCTACTTCCACTCCAGTCAGTGCCACAATAACCCCCAGTCACCCCCAGCTGTTTTACAGCTCTCCCAAGCTTGACAGGACTTCACAGTTTTTGGGGAAATGGATTCCTTACGATGGTATCCAGTCCCATCCATGCTGCTTACTGGGCTGGTGAAGACCTGCTAATGAACCAGCAGCTTGGAAAGGGCTAGTTTGCTCTGAAAAAAATGGCTGTAGTTTTGGGGGAGCTTTGGTGTGGGCAGCATTTCATCTGGGTAGATGAAGCACATGGTTATTTATCTGCAAGAATTAAATGCACATCCTGCTTACCCTCTGTGGCAGCCCATGCGAGGGGGGTTCCTCCACACAGACCCCTGCCAGCAAACTGTCTGCTGACCACATGCAGGAAGCCTTCGCCCCAAGGAGCAAACCCGGCAGCACCCAGCGGTGCCGTTAATCATCCCCACGGCATCTCCTTCACCAAAAGGCTGCTCTTTGCAAGGAAAATAAAGGTACTTTGCATCCCTGGGGTAAAACGCAGCCCTGCCATGCTGTCAGTGCAGGTGGGGCTGCTCCCTGAGCATCAAGTCCCCAGGATGCATACTGGGGAAAGCATGATCAGCAACAAGGTCTCTTCTTCTAGTCCCTGGGTGAAACATTTGAATCCTCAGGGATTCAAGGTGTCCTCGTTCCCTCCTTGCTTCTGCAACAGTTGGATTTGCAGAGGACACTCGAGCAACGTCCCCTCTGCTCCAGCTCGCCCTGGGACTCGTGTGACCAAGCTGTCAGGGCTCTCCGCAGCTGGCAGAGCAGAATGGATCAGTCCCAAAGAAAGAGGCAATCCAATTCAAATAGTCCCTAACGTAACATCCACGATGTCAGAGCCATTTACCACAAAGCAACTGGCACTACAGCTCCGTGCTGCTGAGGACAGCCTCCTCCTGCCTGATGGTTCAGCTTTCTGGCTGTGCTGGCTCTCTGGCAGCAGATGGATGATTTCAAGGGGCAAATAAATTGCAGGGAAAAATATAGAGCTTAGAGTCAGCAGAGTTGAGCAGCAAGGACACATCGGTGCTGCGGAGCAGGGCCAGGGAGAAGGGTGAGGTGGTTTCAGAGGGCTCTGCCAGTGCAGAAGCCAGTTCCCCAGGACAAAGTTGGCAGCTGGTGACATGCTCTTGTCCCGCTCAGGGCTGCTAGACTACCACAGCACCTGACAGGACAACCTGGAGCCATAATCCAAGTCCTTTGCACAGCCAAGAGCCATGCCCAAACTAAACCCTCAATGCCAGCATCACAGCAGCACCCTTTCCACCAGCCCTCAGCACCTGGGACACGCTCACTTACAGGCATAGGGATCTTGGACAGCTCTTTGCCGATGCAGTTTTTCATGATGCTCCAGAGGTTAAGGCTGTAGTTGGGTTTGTCGGGGATGCGAGTCCGTCTCCTCTTCTTCGGCAGGAGATCTTTGCAAGTGGACTCATTGTAGCTGCTTTGATTTGAGCTTTCAAAGACCTGTGGAAGCAACAGAAGAAACACAGGTCTAAGCTGGACTTGCCCAGCATGACCCAAACGCTCCCAGGAGCGGCAACCGCAGCTCAGAAGACACTGCATGCCCTTGTACTGGGGAGCATCACTGGAAGCCTATTCTCCAGGGCATGGGGGAAATAATGGTGCAATTGCCCCCCAACACTTTCCTGCTTCCTGTAGGAGGGTGCTTGGAGTGGTGCTCACAGAGCAATCAACTCTGCTCTGTCCTGGAGGCATGGGAAGGACCCGGGTGGAGAGTCCCTCCAACAACCTCCTCCTCTCCTGCTCCTCTCTCCCGGTTTCATCCCTCCCGCTCTGCCCGGCCAACTCACACTGTCCTCCAGGTTCCAATCCTCAGGGTGGCCCTCGCTGGCCCCACTCAGGTTACTGCCCGAACGCCTGCGGGGAAGAAAGTACTGGCTGGTAAACACAAGAAAGGGCAGACAAGGGGAGAGAAGAGCCAGGGCTGGTGCAGCACAGCCTACACTACTCGGAGCATTTCCCTGCACCACCCCAGGGTGCTGCCAGGAAGGTAACAGGGTGATGGAGGCAATACTCAGCACGGTATGACCCAGCCTGGGGGCAGAGAGCCTCTGCTTTTGCCAGCGAGGCCAGCGAGGCCAGCGGTGTGACCGTGTTTAGACCACAGGTGTCTCCAAGCCCAGACAGATGCCCAGGGAGGTGTAAGAGCAGGTCAAGGCAGACGATGGCAAGATACTCCCTGCTTCTGCCCAATGCTCCAAGGGATCTCTCTCCAAGTCCCTGCCCAGGCTTCCCTCAAGCTCACATCAGCTGCTGGGGCAGAGGACTCAGCTTTCCCACAGCATGGGCTTGATGCCTGCCCTTCCTCACCTGCTTCATTATAGCTGGGGCCATCCTCAGCCTCACTTGCTCCAGGAATGCAAGGGCAGAGGGGTGCAGTACAGAGCCCTGGGCAGAGGCAGCCCATTTGCTGGGGGACATGCACGCAGAGTGATCCCACGGGAGAGGATGCTGCCCTCAAGCCCAAGCACAATGCCAGGCAAACGGTCTCTCCCCGCACTCACAGCAGGTTTCGCCAGGTTGCACTGTGCAACGTGTGGCCCTGGAGCGGAGGCTCGTACCTGTGATGCTTGGGGTCTGCGGTTACAGTGATAAAAGCTGGTGCATCCTCCATGGCATCAAAATACTCCGTCTCTTCATCTTCATCACTGGCCTCTCCTTTTGCAGACTGCACACTCCCTGTTGGTGCAAAGGGTTTGAGATGCTCAGGTGCTGCTGGTCCCCTTTAGAACCCATCGAGCACAAGTCTGTCCCCAGAGCCCACCCTCTTCCCACTGTATCCCCTCTAATGCTGGCTCATTTTACAGCTTGTCCCCCTCCTCTCCACCCCACTCCATGACGAGAGGATGCCATACCAATTTCCAGCTCCTAAAAGCAAGGATGTGCCCCGGCAGCGTGTGTCCAGCTCCCCAGTCCAAGCCACACAAGGCTTCCCTGCCATGCTGGGGAGCACCTTCAAAAATGTCACCAGGCTGCCTGAGCCAGACGCACGCCCAACCGTGTCTAATGCAGCTGCCCCTCCAGCACCGCCCTGTCTGCCGGGAAATCCGGTTTGGATTAGAGCAGAAAAAAAAAAGTCACGTGTTTCAGGTGATGCTCAGAGAGATTTCCCAGCCCTCGGGTTTTCCAGCCCTGCACTTATAAACATTTCTCTTCTCTGCTACGGCGGGAGAGATCGCTACAAAGCCGGGAGCAGACATTAATCGTGGTGACTTTTGAGACCCGGCGCAGCTCCCCTGCTCCTGCCCTCGCTGTGCTGCGCTCGATGGTGCAGGGCATGCAGCAGAGCTGACCACCTCTCTCGAAGCCTCCGGGCAGTACTGCTGCTCCGGCAAGAGGGATGCCGTGGGCAGTGCCAAGGCCACGTGAAGGGACCAGAGCAGCCACCCCGGCTCCAGCCACCTCGCTGCAACAGCCCGCCTGGCTCAGCTGGCTCAGTTGGCTCGGCTTTCCGGCAGGGTTCAGCGACCTCCTTCCCCACATCGTTCCCACACTCCTCCAAAGGAGCAGCATTTGGGCTGGATTTGTGCCTGTCCCTACAGCGATTTCGCCCCTGCCCTCCCCAGCTGTGCCACAGAATCATTTAGGTTGGAAAAGATCATCAAGTCCAACCGTTAACCTAATGCTGCCAGGTCCACCACTAAACCATGTCCCTAAGCACCATATCTACATGTCTTTTAAATACCCCTGGGGATGACTCAACCAATTCTCTAGGCAGCCTGTTCCAATGCTTGACAACCCTTTCGGTGAAGAAATTTTTCCTAATATGCAATCTAAATCTGCCCTGGTGCAACTTGAGGCCGTCTCCTTGAGGCCATACAAGAATGAGGGCAGTGCCTGGCATGGCCGTCACCCCCCTGCAACAGCCGCTATTCTCTCCCTTGAGTCCATATATCCTTTAAAAATAAGATAAGGCACTATTTGCAGTTTTTGGCTACCAGGCTGTAACTAATGCCTCCCGCAGGGAAGCAGATTTGGCACGAATGTGCAAAGCTGTTAGGTTTTATTGCCCGGTAACTCTTGCAAGCAGCAAACAAGGCCTGGCTGTGCCACCACCACCCCACGCAGCCGGGAACTTGGCAGTGCCAGGGGACCCTGGGCTTCCTCCAAGCACCATGGCTGCTCTCCAGCAGCCAGACATGTGCCCACCAGTGAGGGCTACAGCTACTAAAATAGCCTGGAATAGTGTAAGCGAGCTGGGGACACAGCCCTCTCCTGCATCTGTATCTTGGGGACATCCAAGTCTCCAAGCAAGGAGCAGGACAATTGGGGACGATTTATGCTGCAATGGGATCCATTATAAAAAAGAAATTACAGGCATACAGGGCATTGCCTCGTGCATCCTCCCCATCCCTGCCGACTCGCTGGGAGCAACCGAGCGGGAAGCCCCATCCAGCCCGGGGCTTCCCACAGGGCTCTGCCCCTGTAACAGCCCCGTCCCCGCTGCCCGGCCAGCCGGTGCTCACCCTTGGCGGTGCTGGTGATGCCGGTGCTACTGGAGGACAGGCCGGGAGCTCCGCGGCAGGCTCGCTCCAAGCTGTTGTGCTGCTTGGCTAACTGCTCGATGGTCTCCTCCAGCCGGATCCTCTGCTCCCGCTCATACTGCAGCATCCGTTGCCATTTTCGGCTGTGAGTTTCGGCTAAGTCCAGGAAATCGCGGCAAGCCTGGAGGGGAGGAAGGGACACATCAGCACCCGGCATGGCCCTCGCAGCCCGGGAGCTGGTCACAGAGCCAGCGCCGGCACGTGGTGACTCCAGAGCTGACTCCCCACCACTCCCCCTCCTCCTGTCCCAGGACCCCGGTTTTACAAAACACAATCCCAGAGCTTTGCACGATCCCCTGTACCCATGGGGCTAAACCCAGTTCAGTTCTGACCATCCAAACCTGAATCACCTCCGAGGAGATGGCTGCAATATAGACAACTGCCTTGACACCACGAAGCCGTCATGATGTCCTGGCTCACCATGCCCCAGCCCCGCAGCCTTTTCCTGTCCCCGTACCATCCCTGGTCCCCGGGAGCCCAGGCTGGGCTCACACAAACCTCAGCCAAGCCCAGCCCTCCGCGGATGCCCTGAGATCCCCAGCAGCCACCTCCAGCTCCGATCCTGCACATGAGGAGAAGCTGGACAGGACAAGGGTCCCCAGGGTGACAGCCGCAGACAGGAGAGGATGCTCAAGCCAGGAGCCGACGAGCCCTTTGGTCCGAGGAGGCAGAGAGGGAGGATGCCCAGCTCCTCCCCAGAGCCGCAGAGCCCAGCAGACAGCAAAGGGCCTGGCCTGGCCCCAACAACACATTTGCTGTGGCCAAAAGCCCTCTCCTCTCCACGATGGGCCCTTTTCCAGGGAACAGGACCCATCAGCTGCAGGGACACAGGCAGACGCATTCAGCCCAAGGGAAGGAGAGCTCACGGGATGCACTAAGCGATGCCTTGCACAGTGTCCCTGTCCCGTGCCACCAGGCAGGAGACAGCAGGGACACCATGTCCTAGGCTGATAGGAGAACCTCTTGGTGCAGTAACCACCGCCACAGCCGCTCTGAGACCCTCTCGGCATCGCCACGATTCCAAGCATCATCCATCCCCAGGCGTGCTGGACTCCCAGCAGGAGATTTCCGGGTGCAGGACGTCCGCTTGGGGATGGGACGCTGCCAGCTCTTGCGAGCTGCCTTTCTATTGTCTGACAAGAGAGAGACAAGCTCTCACAGCTCTATTTTTAGGTTATTTTTTTACGTTAGACTGAAACACCGAGTTCCCTCGGCTTTGCCGCTTCCTTTGCAATCAACCCCATGTGAAGCTGAGCACAGGGGCAGGGCTGCACCTCCTCCTCCCTCCCCTAAATCTCTGCAAGTTGGGATGCACTAAACTTCTTATGTTTAAAAGTAGGAAAATATGATTTTTATGGAAATTCTCTAGGAGTTTGGAGGCAGGCTGGCAACTTGCAGGCAAATTAACTGCTTTGGCTAGCTCCAACTCATCACCATACCAAGGGAGGTCCTCTTCAGATAAACGCTGGCCTGAAAAACTCAAAACTATTCAAAAAGACTAAAGCCAGCTTCCATGACCTGGCCTGGTTTTACCAGGATTTGTCCAAGAAAAGCTCCAATTCATCAGTTCTTCATCAAACCTCTCCTTTGGATGGGAGCAGGTTTTAAGTCTCATCCAGGGAAGGAAGTTTTTCCTTTAATAATATCAGAAACAAATCACCAGGGAAGTGAAACAAAGCATCAGGTTTTCATATTTTAGGTGAAGAAGCACAAAGCAGAGGGAACCAATATCCCATGATAAGAAACAAAAATGCAGGGGTAGGCATGCATGCCTTCGGTGATGTCCTGAACACTGCCATATCCCCCAGGACCTCACCACCACCCCCAGCCTCACCTCGAGGAGCTCCCCCAGTCGTGGGAAGACACAGGAACCAAACTCAGATCAGATACATGAAGGACAAACACAATGAGTTTGGGTCTGTCCTTTGGGGGAAAAAAATAAAAATCAGTGTAACCCATCATATTTAAAAAGATGTTTTGCTTTGTATTCATCTCTACTCTCTCCTGCTTCTTAATACCTGCAGCATGGAAGGACCTGACCCTGCGTTTGTGTTATCTCCATCCCTGATCACTCCTGCCTGCTCTCACTGTGCAGAGCTCAGTCCACAGGTGGATTTCTGCAGCATCAGTCCCAGCATCAAACTGGCCAGGGTGAATTTAAACCCACAGACCATGCTCTTGCAAACCTGCTATTTTTTCCAGTGCAGATGGGTATAATGCAAGTGTCCCAAGGGTGAGCTCCAACATACATCAGTCTTCAGTATCATTAAGGCTCTCTAATAAGATGCAATCACATGCGGTTCTGCTAGGCAGAAACAATTTAGCCAAAAAGCATCTGCAAGCTCCGAATGTGGGTTTGTCCTATGGTGTCGGCTTCTCAGCCTCTGGATTGCTATTTGTGGCCATCAGCAGCTCTAGGAAGCAACTCAGCAGCGCTGCCACAGCAATAGAGATACCTGCCTGCCCGAGCTCAAATATTCCCCAGCAAGCACCACATGGCAATGGCATTAAGGCTGTATGATTAGCCAGAAGAGCAGGTGGAAATGACCCCGGGAAAGGAGAGGGGCAGAGCCCTTTGCAAATAAATCCTCAGCGCCACGATGGGCAACATGGCTCCTGCGAGCTTGGAGCAACGCAGCAGGTCCCCCCGCTTTGCTGTTTCTCTGACTGCAGGCAGGGAGGTGTCAGGGTCCTGTCCCCCCAAATTCCTTGCTGTGCACCTATCCTAACTCCCCCCCCCCCAGCCCAAACAGGGACCACCCAGCTCCTCCTCACATGAGCCACAGACCCCACGGGGCTGCGTGGATGGGTGCAGGGAGATGTGGGACCGAAGATTTTCAGGGTGCTTCGCACCGCGTTTTCACCTCGTTCTCTGGAAACAACTCAGCTCCTCTCCCCACCCCAAAAAGTCCTGTTGACAGGCACCCACAGCCACAAAGCCCACGGGCAGACCCTGCCCTGATGCCTTCATACCCAGCATCAAGCTGAAGCCTCCTGCCAGTTAAAACTAACCCATGCCCCAACCTGGCATGCTGGCTTCTTTTATTACGCTGATGCATTGCGATTAAGAGGATGGAAACACAAGGGCAAGTAATGAGATAGCGGCCGTGACCTTCCTGGCCCGGCAAAGCTCATTATCTGCTCCGAAGGTCCCTCTCCGCAGGCAGCCCACACGCAGCGGGCACAGATATACCCATTTTGGCGCAGCTCGCTGGCACCAAGGATGGAAGTTGCTGGCTGTCCCCGGCTCAGGGGGCTGAGCTCTTTAAAACGATGCGCTAGGAGATCACCTGTAATTATCCTACTGCAATTAAACACAGTTTGTAAGGTATAATGGTAAATTAGGGGAAAAGGAGGTAATCAGAGGAGCCACGCGAAGGCAGCCCTCCAGTGCGTCACCAGGCAGCTGGGAGCCGTGGGATGCGGAGGAGAAATCACTCGATCACTTGACAGGAATCAACATACTAAATAAAAATCACAGCAGATAAAACCTCAGGTCCTCCCATCCCAAGGCTGCCAAGCTTCGTGAAGGATCTGTGCTGTATCCCAAATGGAAATCCACACCGACAAGCTTCATTTATAGCCATAACAAAAAAAAAACCAAAACAAAAAAAAAAAATCCAAGTGATGGAGAAGTGGCCATCAGCATTACATACTTTCTCCACTGAGCACGGGGAGGTTTTGGGAAGATGACTGGGATGGTCCTCGCATGGCCCCAGACCCTGCCAGAGGCAGTGGTACCAAGCAGCAGGTCAGGACAATGCTTGTTTCTGACAGCATCCCACAACTTGTGTCCGTGTGGATTTAGGGGCCGGCTGGGGTATGTACAGGGTTTATTCCCTGTTTTCAAAAGACTGCTGGGCCACCTTTCTGCAGCCGCTTCCTCTGTAATTCGGACACACTGGCAAAGGACCCTGCCCGTGGCCTGATCCAAACCACAGCACTCACGAAGCATCCGGATCAACCGCAGGCAAGCGTCACGTTTGCTCATTGGAAGACAAGCGATGCCGAGGGTGGCAACAGGAGAACATCCTGCAAGAAAGATCCCCCAAGCCCAGCTCCCCAGCTGCCAGCAGCAGCCAAGCAAATTAAAATTATTTATTTGGCTTTATACCTCCTACAGCCAGACAGCGCAAAGTTGCACAGGGATGCTCTCTGGAGGTGAGACTAGCACTCAACAGGGCTCAGGGTGTATTTTTCTGTTGCCAGAGCTCATTCCTGAGCCAAAACCCGCCCCAGACTCCCAGTACGAAGCGGGGGCAGCACCACAGCACCAGCCCACGAGCTCCCTGGGGCTGCAGGGAGCCGGGGGCGAGTAGCTCAGACATGATAATCTCCCATGGAGAGGTCGATATCAAAGGGAAATGAATTCCAGCCCTTATCTCAGGCTCAGCTGTCTGGTTTTCCTCAATACCTACGGCTGCTCGCATGGTCCTCGAGGAGCCAGGTCTCAGCCCAAGAGGTCTCAGCCACGTCTCGGCTCCATCCAGGCTCACCGCCCGGCAGGGAGCCCCAGCCCCTTCGACGGCTCGAACAAACCCCCGGCTCAGCCGAGGCTGTTTTGGCCATCCCCACCTTTGCCAATGACAAACCAAGACCAGACCAGCAGCCGTTGCTTTTCGGCGTTTGCTCACACGGCACCAGCTGGATCGAGGAGCCGCGATGACCCTTCCCGGAGACAAAGAAACGGGCGCATCAAACACGGCCGCAGTCTGACAGCCTCCGAGGCCGTGTCCTCCCCAGCTGTCAGCAGCGGTAATTAAAACACCGCTGGCTGCTGCCTTCCACCGAAGGACATGGCACGACTTACTTCTGGTTACAGCTGCAAAAATCCAGAGAGCTGCACCTTCCCCTTGGACATACCTTCCTCTTCCAGCAAAACCCCTCACAACATGCTGTCCCCATCCCCGTGAGATGCAGGATGGAGCCCCTGGATGCATGGCACCGGAGCCGGCACACCAGCATGCCGCTGCTGCTCCGCGTGGTGGGGGGACACCGGCGAGGCCAGGACGCCGCTCCCAGAGGAAACAAATCCAGAAGGAAACCATTCACGAGGCTCCGCCAGGACCAGTCGGCCAGGTTCCCTGCTCTGGGCTGGGACAGCTTCGCCACCGGTCTCGG